GTGGTATTGAGGAATCGAACCCAGGGCTTCATGCATGCTAGGCAAGCACTCTACCACTAAGCCACATTCCCTGTCCTTCTTATTTATTTATTTATTTATTTATTTTGTCAGTGATGGGGCTTGAACTCTGGGCCTGGGCACTGTCCCTGAACTCGTCAGCTCATTGCTAGTGCTCTACCACTTGAGCCACAGTGCCACTTCCGGTTTTCTGAGTCGTTTGTTGGAGATAAGAGTCTCATGAACGGGGCTGGGAAGGTGGCTCAGTGGTAGAGCGCTTGCCTTACATGCCTCAGGCCCTGGGTTCGATTCCTCAGCACCACATAAGCAAAAAGAAAAAATGCCGGAAGTGGCGCTGTGGCTCAAGTGGTAGAGCGCTAGCCTTGAGCTGAAGAGCTGAGGGACAGCGCCCAGGCCCAGAGTTCAGGCCCAACTACTGGACCCAAAAACAAACAAAACAAAACAAAGAGTCTCATGAAGGTTCCTGCCTGGGCTGGCTTTGAATTGTGATTCTCAGATCTCAGCCTCCTGAGTAGCTAGGATTACAGGCGTGAGCCACTGGTGATGAGCTTATTTATTTTTGTGCTGGTTCTAGGGTTCTTTTTCTCAAGGTTGTCACTCTACCACTTAAGCTCCAATTCTGTTTTTTGGTGGTTAATTAGAGATAAGAGTCTCACAGACATTCCTGCCCAGGCTAGCTTTGAACCATGATCCTCAGATCTCAGCCACTTAAGTAGCTAGGATGATAGGTATGAGTCACCAGTTCCCAGGAAGAATTTATTAAATGCTTAAAAATGAAAAGTACTAGTAATATGGTCCTGTGGGTATCATGGTGGGTAGCACAGATACATTCTCTGCAGGAAGTTCTTACAGTACCATGAAGGATAGCATTGCACTATACCATGAACTTAAAGGCAGGGAACTGTCTTACTCATCCTTGCATCCTAGGATGGAGAACACTGCTTACCATGGAAGAGATGTTGCTAATTGCTTGAGATCCTGAGCCTCATTATCTTATAGGTTTACATGTTTACTTATTTATTTTGACAGTACTAGGGTTTGGATTTTTTTTTCTTTATTTTTCAGACAGGGTCTTGCTTTTGCATAGCTCTGGCTTTAGACAAGAATCCTCCTAGCTGGGCGTCAGTGGCTCATGCCTGTAATCCTAGCTACTCAGGAGGCTGAGATCTGAGAATCATAGTTCAAAGCCAGCCCAGGCAGGGAAGTCTATGAGACTCTTATTTTCAATAAACCACTAGAAAACCGGAAGTGCTGCTGTGGCTCAAGTGGTAGAGCACTTGCCTTGAGCTGAAGAGTTCAGGGACAGCGCCCAGGCCCAGAGTTCAACCCCATGACTGGAAAAAAAAAGAATCCTCCTACCTCTCCACCTCCCTCCGGGTTTGTAGGCATGCACCACCATGCCACCATCCCTTGCTCATTTTATAAGGAAACAGTGCTTCACAACAAGCAAGCAACTTGCTAAGGGTCACAATCAGGATGGGAGGTTTCAGGTTCATGTCCCTAACAAGGGAACCATCTATGGCTGTCCAGTTCTCTCCAGGTCACCACCTCTCCGACCTTTCCAATCGCCTCACCCAGTGAGGCTCCTCTTCTTCCATACCTGCTTTTTTGTTCTGCTCTCTTGCCCAGGCCACTGCAGCCTCCCTCTCTCTCCATCCAGGTGCCCGCTCTCAGCCTTGGGTACAGTTTCAGCGCCGGGCAGCCCGTCTGCCAGTCAGCTCCACCTACAGCCAGCTCTGGGCATCACTCACACCTGCCAGCACCCAGCAGGAAATGAGGGCTTTCCCTGCCTTCCTGGGCACTGAGGCATCCAGCTCCGGTAAGCCAGGTGCCTGATATGGGATACAGAAAAGATCCCCTTCCCACAACTCCTTAGCACTTGTGTCCTCTTCTTTCAGGCAATGGCTCCTGGCTAGAGCTCATACCTCTGGCTGCTGTAAGCGTCCACCTGCTGACAGGCAATGGGACCGAAGTGCCCCTCTCCGGCCCCATTCACCTGTCCCTGCCAGTGCCCTCAGAGCCCCGTGCTCTGGCTGTGGGCACCAGCATTCCAGCCTGGAGGTTTGACCCCAAGAGTGGTAAGTGTCTCAGGGGGTTGTCAGTACTGGAGTTTGGAGGGAAGAACATTTAGGAGATTTATGCACCCCGGGCTCTCCTAGGACTGTGGGTACGCAATGGCACCGGTGTGATCCGGAAGGAAGGGCGGCAACTCTACTGGACCTTCGTCTCCTCCCAGCTGGGCTACTGGGTGGCTGCCATGGCCTCCCCCACGGCTGGTGAGAGTGGTGGGTCATCGGGGCAGGGGGAAGAAAGAGGGAACTTAGCAAGTGGCAGGAAGGACATCCATCCCTGAACACTAAACCCTTGCCTGGCACAGGGCTGGTCACCATCACGTCGGGCATCCAAGACATTGGTACCTACCACACCATCTTTCTGCTTACCATCCTGGCGGCTCTGGCTCTGCTGGTGCTCATACTGCTGTGTCTGCTTATCTACTATTGCCGGTGAGGGCACCAGCCCCAGCCCCTAACTCCTCTCACCTCAAAAGATCTGCTCTACCACTGGTGTCGCTGAGCCCAGGGGACCTAGGCCAGCTCTTACTCCCAGGGGACCCTAGGACAGACCCACTCCTAGTTGGCTAAGATGCTCTTCTAGGTTCTCAGGCACTTCTAGCGCGCGCGTACACACACACACACACACACACACACACACACACACACGAGTGTTTACCCCATGGGAACCCAAATGTAGCCACTGGACAGGGCCCTGCTTACCACAAACTTTTCCCAGGCCCCTGGTACAATAGTCCCCACTCTCTGACAACCCCAGGCGTTGAACCCGATCCTCTGTCTTCATCATGGGGAGTGTGCGGCGGGCTTTTCTTGATGGTCCTCCCTCTTTTCCCTCCTCTCCAGGAGGCGTTGCCTGAAGCCCAGACAGCAGCACCGCAAGCTGCAGCTCTCGGGGCCCTCTGATGGTAACAAACGCGATCAGGCCACTTCGATGTCCCAGCTCCACCTCATCTGTGGGGGACCCCTGGAACCTGCCTCTTCAGGGGACCCCGAGGCCCCACCGCCAGGACCCCTCCATTCGGCCTTCTCCAGCTCCAGAGATTTAGCCTCCTCCCGGGATGACTTCTTCCGTGCCAAGCCGCGCTCGTCTAGCCGCCCGGCCACCGAGCCTCCGGGTGCCCGCGGGGCCGAGGCTGCAGGGCTCAAGGGCGCCCGCTCCGTGGAGGGGCCTGGCGGGCTGGAGCCGGGCCTGGATGAGTACCGGCGGGGACCGGCGGGGGCGTCGGCCTTCCTGCACGAGCCCCCCTCGCCGCCGCCGCCGCCGTTCGACCACTACCTGGGCCACAAGGGGGCGGCCGAGAGCAAGACCCCCGACTTCCTGCTGTCGCAGTCGGTGGACCAGCTGGCGCGGCCGCCGTCGCTAAGCCAGGCCGGGCAGCTCATCTTCTGCGGCTCCATCGACCACCTCAAGGACAACGTCTACCGCAACGTCATGCCCACGCTGGTGATCCCCGCGCACTACGTGCGCCTGGGCGGCGAGGCGGGTGCCGCGGGGGTGGGCGACGAGCCCACCCCTCCCGAGGGCTCCGCCCCCGGCCCCGCGCGCCCCTTTCCCCAGCCCGATCCCCAGCGCCCGCTGATCCAGGGCCACCCGGGTGCGGGGGGCGAGGGCGGCGGGGCCGGCGGCGGCGAGGGCTGGGGGAGCGGGCGCTCGGCGCCGGTCAGCGGCTCGGTCACGATCCCGGTGCTGTTCAACGAGTCCACCATGGCGCAGCTCAACGGGGAGCTGCAGGCGCTGACCGAGAAGAAGCTGCTGGAACTGGGCGTGAAGCCTCACCCGCGCGCCTGGTTCGTGTCGCTGGACGGGCGCTCCAACTCGCAGGTGCGCCACTCCTACATCGACCTGCAGGCGGGCGGCGGGGGCCGCAGCACCGACGCCAGCCTAGACTCTGGCGTCGACGTGCACGAGGCGCGGCCCGCGCGCCGCCGGCCCCCGCGGGAGGAGCGCGAGCGCGGCCCCGCCGCCGCCGCCGTGCCGCCGCCGCCCGCGCCGCCCGCGCCGCCGCGCCTGGCGCTCAGTGAGGACACGGAGCCCAGCAGCAGCGAGAGCCGCACGGGCCTCTGCTCGCCGGAGGACAACTCGCTGACGCCGCTGCTGGACGAGGTGGCGGCGCCCGAGGGCCGGGCGGCCACGGTGCCCCGGGGCCGAGGCCGGAGCCGCGGGGACAGTTCCCGCAGCAGTGCCAGCGAGCTCCGGCGCGACTCGCTCACCAGCCCGGAGGACGAGCTGGGGGCGGAGGTGGGCGACGACGCCGGCGACAAGAAGAGCCCGTGGCAGCGGCGGGAGGAGCGGCCGCTGATGGTGTTCAACGTCAAGTAGCTCCGCCCCCTCCCGCCCGGGCCCGCCCCCAGGGTGCGAACCCCCCCCCCCCCCCCCCCCCCCGGGAGCCCGGAAAGGCGTCCTGGGGCCTGCGAAGCTGTTCCGTGGTATGTGCTGGGTAAAGTCGTGGGAAGGGGCCCTGGATCTGCCTCCAAGCAGGGGGAGGTGGGAGGGGTCCGGTCCCCCACTGGGAGGTGCTGGGGAAGAGGGCTGGGGGTGGGGGGGAAGCAGTGCCTGTATAAAAGTGGCTGTACATAGAAAGTTCTATCTTGGGAGAGAAGGAGGGGTTACCCAGCCTGGGCTGCTAGTGAGGGCTGGGAAGGGAGGGGGCGTTCTTTGTGGACCCTTGGGAGGGGAGGGGGTGCTGCTTGCTGAGCGGCCCATCTCTTGGGCTGCGATGTCACAGGGCCGGTGACTGGGGTAGGCCTGGGGACGGTGATGGGGTCCACCGTGGGCAACAGCAAATATAGAATGGTGAGGTGAACGCCTTGTGTGTCTTTCTGTGTAGCGTGAATGTTGGCACAGGACAAGGATCCCCGTTCAGGGCTCTCCTGGGGAGGTAAGGCAGGGTGGCCAAATCAGACAGTTAAGAAAGTGTACAAACTTTATTGGAGCACACGCACGCGCGTACACACACACACACACCACCTGTGGATAGGGGAAAGCACCTGGCCACAGGGTCCAAAGAAATTGGGCGAAGGGGTGGCAGTTTGTATTGTAATGTGGCTTTTGCCACTGTCCCCTAAATGAGGAAGGCCTTAGATCGAGGCCCCCACCTTCCATGGTAGTGGAGTAATTCAGAGTTGGGGGGGTCAGGGATAATTAGGGGGAAAAGGAGCGAGGGAGGCCTGAGCAGGTGGATGCCCTCTGGACAAGGTCCAGAGGGCTGAGAAGTGTCTTCTGTTCCTCAGCTCCTCCTTACAGCAGCTGTCTGGGGGCTGGGAAGGCGGAAAGGTTATCCCAGCGCGGGTTCTGCCTGCGCAAGCACTTGGTTCCCTTGGCCCCACAGCGGTAGCCTCTAGGACAGCAGTGCCGCCGATCTGCACAGCAGACACCCTGAATAGTTGGGGGGGGGGGGGGGCGGGGCAGGGCGGCGGAGAGAGGAAACAGAGTTAGACAAGGCAGAACCTGACCCATTCCCATCCCCAGTGCCAGGGTCAGAGGTGGCACTGACCTGATGGTAGGGACAGCAGGCCCAGTCCCCTCGGCTGTTTTGGCAGCAGGTTTGGTTATCATGGCAGAAGTGTCCTGCCCCACACTCCACATCATCCACACCCTCATTAGGGCCGAGAAGCAGGCGGGCGGCAGGACGGGCAGCGTCCACTTCCTTCTCACAGGATCGGGCCTTCACATTGCAGGTGTACCCCGCCGGGCAGCAATGTTGCCGGTCCTCACAGCACACAGCCTGCAGTGATGGAGTGACATCACACTCCAGCCTCCCGCCCTCCACACCACACCCCCTTATCCCAGGTCAGCCACACAGACACTCACATGGGGCAGCTGGCAGCAGGCCCAGCCCCCACTCAGGTTTGGGCAGCAGGTCTGCCCCACTGGGCAGCTGGTATGCTGGTCACAGCCAGTGTCTCCTGTGTGGTTCTGGGGAGCCTTGCGGGCAGGCATTTTCTCTAGTCCAGCCACTAGCTTGTTTCCCTTCTGACACCTTCCCTCAGCCACACATACGTAGCCCTGGGGACAGCAGTGCAGGTGGTCCGAACAGCAGACAGCCTGGGGGATGGGCAGAAAAAGTGTTCTAGAAGTTGCCATGTGGACAATTGTCTCCTGTCTACAGCTCCTCTAGCTGGAAGATGAATCTCAGAGCTAGGTGCCAGCATGGGCTAGGAAGTGTACAGAGTATAGCACGGTGGCCACCCATCTGACCAGGCCAAGGTACTATCACCCCAGTGCTGCCCCCTGCCCAAGCACCTCTGGGATAGGACAGCAGCCCCATTCCCCAGAAATTAGTCGGCAGCAGGTGCTGGATTGGGGACAGCTGGTAACATCATCACAGGAAACATCATTCTTCAAGGACTGTGGGTCTGGCAGACTGAGGCGGGCTGGGATCTTCTTCATCCAGGGTATCTGGAAGCTTCCCTGTTCACAGGTTCCCTTCTCAGTGTAACACTTATATCCTGCCGGGCAGCAGTGAATATGGTCCTCACAGCACACAGCCTGGAGTAGACAGAAGGGCCAGTGAGCACAAGGCCTCAGCTTACTGCTGCCTCTGCTCAGCCCAGCCCACCCTGGTACTTGGGTACCTGTGTAAATGGGCAGCAGCCCCAGGCTCCTGTCTGAAGACGACAGCAGGTATAGCCATCTGGGCAGCTCACCTCCATGTCGCACTTCACATCCTGCACTGTATAGGAGAGAGGACAGGTCAGCCTTGTGGGTGGGGGTCTACCCAGTTGCAGTCTCCACAGCCAGAACCCAGATGTTATAGGTAGAAGGCAGAATGTATGCCACCCTGCAGTGATCCCGAGGCAAGACCAATGTGGGGAGGTAGCTGCTGCCTAATCTCTCCTTGCTATCAGCAACCATCCCCACATCTGATCATGGAACAGTTTGGTGGAATAAGGTGGTTTGCTTGAGGTACCTGTGTGTGCAGGCAGCTTGCTCAGGAGGTCTGTAGTGTCATTCTCCTTGGAGAGGCACTTGCTCTGGGTCAGGTCACACACAGTGTCCTGGGGGCAGCAGTGCTGGTGGTCGGAGCAGCAAATGGCCTGGGTGAGGACCAGAGGTGAGTCTAAACTTCCAGTCAGGCTTATGCCTGGCACTGCTCCAGTACCCCCACTAGGGGGCAGCATGAGCCCTGAGCAATCAGACAACTGACCCCAGCCCCTGGATCCCCCTGTAAGGCAGTGTCCAGGCCAGGGTGGCTGTAAGTACACAGCCAAGCTGGCTCCAGCCCTCACTCACATTGGGCATTGGGCAGCAGCCATAGCTTCCATTGGGCAGCTTGCAGCAGGTAGAATCATCAGGGCACTGGCTCCGTGCATCAGGACACAGAACTGAGCTGGGCAAAGCCACTGGAAGAGGAGCTAGGCCTGAGGGATGGCCAGGTGGAGGGAACTTAGCCAGGAGTCAGATTAGGCCTCACCCCAACCCCCAGCCTGAGGTTCTCTCTCCTCACCTGCCCTATTAGTGCTTCTTTGTGCAGGGAACTTCTTTGCTAGGGGGAAGGTGCCTGTGGGTGTGACACAGAGGGTGTGAACCAGGTCACAGGTGGCCCCATGGGGACAGCAGTGCACCCTGTCTTCACAGCAAGAAGCCTGAGAAAAACAGCCATGGATGTACCTTTGCTACCCCCACCTCTAGCCATGCCCCCCACATCTTCTCACTCCCATCTCCTCACACCTGTACCTCGGGCAAGAGGCAGCATCCCCAGGAGCCATCAAGCATAATGCAGCATGTGGAGGAGTCGGGGCATTCGAACTGGCTATCAGGGCACTGGACAGCACCCAAGAGGTCATTATCTGTGGACAAGATGATCAGGATTCCACCAGCCCAGCCCAGTCAATGAAAGCCATTTTCCCCATCACTCAAGGAGCTTGTAGCATCAGAGCCTGTAGGTCCAGCTCTAGAGGCTCTTGGGGTTGCTACTAGAGCCCAAGATCCACTACCGCATTCTCCCTGTAAGACAGACCCTGCCTCAGAGAGATGACAGGGTGGGGCATCCAGTGAAAGTGGGTTGTCATTGAATTAGCCTGGCGTGGCCTCTTCCTACCCCACCATACCTATATCCTCTCCTGCTCCCTCCGGTCCCTGGAGCTGCCTTCTGTCAGAGCATTAGTACATTTATCACATGAATGAGAGCACAAGGACAGGAAATCGGGACCACCCACCCAGGTGGCTGGGGTCCTGAGCACTCTAGGCTCCTATGTGTTCCCTGCTCATCCCCAGCCCCTGTCGCACCTGATCTCTGGAAACAGGATTGCCCATCAGCACTACAGTGGAAGTCCTGGGGGCAGCAGTGATGGCCATCCCCACATGACACGGCCTGCAGGACACAAGGAAGCCTGTGTGGGCAAGGCCCTTTTACCAGAATAGGAGGGTGCAGGGAAAGAGTGAATGCAGCTCTAAGCCCCTCCAATCGAGCCAATGGCACGCTTACCTTTGGAAAGGGGCAGCAACTGGAAGTTCCAGCGATGGTGAGGATGCAGGAATGGCCAGCAGAGCAGTGGGCATGAGTCTGGCAGGGGCTGCCCAGACGCTGGCTCAGCGTTGTAGGCCACTTGTCCTAGGAAGAGAGAGGATTAAACCAAAGGACCTGTGCTGGGCTCACCCACTGCAGCCAAGGCTCCAGGGTTATCGATTCTTGTCTAGGGCAGGAATGGCACCCACCAGGACAGGGTTGCAGCAGCTGTAGCCAGTTCCTCTCGGGTCCGGGCAGCAGGCCACAGGGCAGAGTTGGCCATCTGGGCACTGTGTTCCAGCCACCAGCCCTACCCATAAGGCCACCCAGCTCACCAGGGTCCACATGGTCTTCCTGCAGAGTACAAGGAACATTCATCAACCAGCTTAAGCCCAGATCACCCTCAGTTCTGAGGCTGTGCTCACCAAGGGGCATGCCTGGACTCACTGCACCTCCCCAACAGCTGCAGGCAGGAGAACAGAAATATGGATTGATTCAGCTTCCTACAGGCACCTCTTGTGTTATACATGCACCTGCATGTACCCATCAGAGCATTTGCACATGTGTGGATCGATGTCTCCACTCAAGGCCTGAGTGTCTGTGGGTGAGTGTGTTATACAGGCTTAGGAGCATACGGAAGGCATGTGGTTTTTGTGGGCCTGATCTGTGAGGAAGTGGGCCAACCCTGAGGATATGAGGAAGGCCTTAGAGACCATGTGACACGACAGGGGTGCAAGGAGGGAGTCCTACCAGAGTTCCCTTTCCACAGCCAGCCAAGTGTCTGCTTGATGGATGTTATGCTCCCATCTGCAACCGGCTAAAGCCTTTCAGACTGGAGCAATCACATGATCATATGGGAAACCACAGAGTTGAGAAAGTGTGAAAGCAAAGTGTGAAGCAAAGTGGCAACAGTCTGCCCCTTCCCTCGAAGCCAGTCACTGCCTGTTCACAACTGTCCTCTCAGCCAGGACAGGGTTAGGTTCATAGGCTGGATCATCCTTTGAGAAAGTTATGTTCTAAAGCCCCCAACACTACGAGGGGCCCTTGTAAACTCCCCAGTGCACCCATTACCTCTGCCTCTCTCTCTCCTACCCTGGCCATGAGCTTCAAGAGTTTTGTCCACTCCGCTGCCCATCTGACTCAGTAGGAGAAATAGAACCTTGTCTCTGGTTGAGCACTATCTCACTTCCCTAACAAACTTGCAGCAGCTCCCCACTGGGGGAGCAAAACCAGCAATGTCTTGTGAGCCTCTCAGGACCCAGTTACAACTTTTCTCAAAGCAGTAACAATCTCCTTCATTTCTCAAAGAGGGAAACAAATTCAGAAATGTTGTCACGTGTCATACATGAAGTCATAGGGATGACAGGCTTTCATGGCTCCAGAGCACATTGGACCTGGGTTTGTATCACCAGTGGTACCCTAGACACTGCCAGGGAACAGACCCCCCAAGGCCCAGGGGGACAGAGGCCTGAGATCTAAGTGGAGGGAAAGAGACATCAGCATTTCTTGGGCAAGTGACAGAAACAAGGGATCAGAGATTGCCTAGAAATTCCACTTAAGGACTAGTCCTGGAATTGCCACCAACCAATTGTGAGGGTCTTAGAAGTTCCTTTCTTGTCTATTTGCCTCAATTCTCCCGTGTGTGGTTAGCAGGAGCCCCTAACCAGTATGTGGACATTGTTGGGAGCGTTCTCTACTTAGCCACTCAAATCTTCCTCTCCTTCACCTGGTGGCCTTTCACCTCTCCTTGCCCCACAGATGTCCCACCAGCTTCCTGAGTGTCCAGTGGCGACTCTCAGCAGGCAGCAGAGGGGAAGCTGGCACCCTGCTGGTTTATCTATACTTTTCTTCCTGTTTAGCCCTAGGTGCAGGAGCACAGCGTGTGCTTCTGCGGGACACTCGCTGCAGGCGCACAAAGAACGGGGGTGGGGGGGGGGGTGGGGACGGGACAGGGTGGGGGTGAGAGTGGTGGCCACTCTGAACGTGTGTCCAAACAGCCAAAAGGCAGCCCCTGAGCTCCGCAGTCTTCCGCTAGGGGGCACCCCCAACCCCGAGTGTCCAGGGGAGAGGAATTTCCCAAAAGGCGAGTCAATCCAGTTGCCAAGGGGCAAGGAAAAGAGGCGGGGAGAGGCAGAAGGTAGCTGTCCCACCCTCCACCGGAAGGCTAGCAGCCTCAGCTCCCAATTCCTCCGCCCTGCTCCCTGCCCCCAAGGAGCCCCCAGCTAGGGGAGGTCGGCCCCCCAACTCCAAGCCACTGAGAGGCCCACCCACCACCACCAGAAAGGGACACGGCGGGCACCAGTCGACCGAGGCAGAAATGCTGGTGCAAGGACAGGGCGCGCCCCGCCTTCCCGGCATGCGCGACCACCCTGTTAATGGGGTGGGGTCGCTGCAATTACTCCTTATCTCCTTTCCCCAAAAGCCAAAACCCCTCCCCTCTAGTGCCTCAGGAGTTCCTAGCAGCACGGGTCTTCCGTTGTCTCAGGGCTGAGACCCCAGAGGATCCTCGAGCACACACGTTTCCGCAAGGGCCCCCCCCGCCCCGGGCCAGGGGCAGAGCGAGGTGCGCACCCTCTCCTTCCTACCTGAGACCGCGTCCGTGCTCCCTGGTTAGCCAACCCCGGTCAGCTCCCGGCCTTCTGCCCTTCGTCGAGACGACCCGCCCACAGAGGTTCCCATTGGCCAGGGATGCGGGATCCCGCTCTCCTATTGGTTACTTTCCCCTCATGGAGGCGGGGCTGTCCTGGAAGGCTGAGTTTCTTTTTCACTCCATTCGCTCTCCTATTTCCTCTCTCCCCACACCCCATTTCCCTGAATCATGTGATTCGAGAATCATATGACACCGCGGCCCGCATCTACAGGGTTGCGGGTGTTTGCTTCCTCGCTGGCCTTTGCTGGTCCTTCATTCCCAGGACAGTTTCCTAGAGATGAGGACATTGACAGCAGACAGTGCTGCGCCCCCGGGAGGCGCCGTCCGGGGCGTTTGCGGGGTGTCAATCAGATTCTGAGTTGCAGAAAATTAGGCTTCCTTTTTCACTTCTGTTCAACGAACTCTGATTTAATGCTAGGCTGTGGCGACGGAAAGGAAGTCCAGGACAAAGATAAACAGCTTCTAGGTATTGCTTCCTCAAGGCGCTGGGGATTAGTGACGCAGACTGGCTCAGATTAAATGTGAGGTTCTAGGTGTGTCCTGAGTTAGGGCTATGTTTAGGGAAGAGGCTGAGGATCGTCTCAAAGGTAGGAAGAAGAGTTTCAAATCCACCCTGGAAACACCTCTTTGGTCTGAGTCCAACAGGATTTTAAGTGGCCGAAGGGGAGAGTTTGGGGCTGGCTGCACAGAGGTGTCAAGAAGAAACTCGAAAACCAGATGGGAGGAAGTGGCGCTGTGGCTCAAAGTGTAGAGTACTAGCCTTGAGAGAAAATGCTCAGAGACAGCTCCTAGGCTCTGATTTTAAGCCCCACAACCAACAAAAAAAGTTAAGAAAACCAGAAAAGAAGGACAGGTACGGACAAGGGTTGAATGTCACTGTTAGATGCTTAGAACTTGCTTTTGCTAAAAGCATTGACTCCTTACTGAAACCTCAAGTTCATTGAAAGCAGATTCAAACCTTGCCATCCCTGACTGCCTTTTTCTTGTCATTGCTCTGAACTATTCTCTCTTACAGTCACCTTGGAGTCCAAGAAGGTCAAGACTGATGGATAAACATCTTATGTCAAGAGTCTGAGCTACTCCTAGGCAACAATGACTTACTGTGACCAGGCCCTGCCTGACCAAATCCTGAGACAATGAACCACCATTGACTGCAGTTTTTCCAGGACTATTGAATTACACACACACACACACACACACACACACACACACACACACACACAGCCTGAATTCTTCCTCTGTTTTTTGTTGCAATTACTGGCGTTTGAACTCAGAGTCTTGTGCTTGCTAGGCAAGTGCTGTAGCATTTGAATTACACCTCCATTTCTTCCTCTGCTTAATCCTAAAGGTTATGACTGTACCCAAAGTTGGTTTGATGTGCTCACTCTGCCTCTCTTTTTTTTTTTTTTTGGTCTGGTCCTGGGGCCTGAACTCTGGGCCTGGGCGCTGTCCCTCAGCTCTTCGGCTCAAGGCTAGCACTCTATCTCTTGAGCCACAGTGCCACTTCCGGCTTTTTTTTTCTTTTTGCTTATGTGGTGCTGAGGAATGGAACCCAGGGCCTCAGACATGCAAGGCAAGCGCTCTACCACTGAGCCACCTTCCCAGCCCCATCACTCTGCCTCTTTTGTGATGTGTCTGTTAATAAACCTTGTTTCTTTGTCCTCCACTGCTACTGTGTTCTGTATTGGGAAGAGCAGTATGACCTGACCTATTGGAATTAAACTGGGCCTCTGGCCTGAAACTCTGGTTACACCATGTTCAAGCAAAGGGGTTGGGAGTAGTTGTATGCCAGACACAAGCTGGGCTGGGGATAGGGGTTGTCAAAGTGGCAGTTGTATCCCTGCTTTTTCAGTTGGCCTTGTCCTCTAAGAATGGCCCTGATAGGGGCTGGGAAGGTGGCTCAGTGGTAGAGCGCTTGCCTTGCATGCCTGAGGCCCTGGGTTCGATTCCTCAGCACCACATAAGCAAAAAGAAAAAAGCCAGAAGTGGCTCTGTGGCTCAAGTGGTAGAGCGCTAGCCTTGAGCTGAAGAGCTGAGGGACAGCGCCCAGGCCCAGAGTTCAGGCCCCACGACCGGACCCAAAAAAAAAAAAAAAAGAATGGCCCTGATAGGAGAGGGGAGAAAATTCATCGTGCTGAGCAGATTAGCCAATGACAAGAGCCATATTGTTTAGTGCTAAGGGCCTGTACAGGTAGAGATGAGTGATGGGACCTCATTACAAGAACAAAGATGAACAGTTCCCCAGGAGGAGAAAGAAGAGGCTCAGGGAAAGCCCAGTCCTGGGCCTTGGAGGAAAAGCAATGCTTGCCTTTCAAGAGCAGATGGAGAGCATTGAAGACAAAGCAAAGAGTTTGAACTGAGGCCTGGCTAGGATAGGGGGAGATGGTGTGGCTGAGTTTTACAATTGTGTGGCAAGTCTCCTAGCCAGGAGATAGAGATCCTGGAAAGCAGGTAAGATACTTGCTGAAAAATCTAGAATAATTCTGCACTTAGTAACATCTTTGTCTTTCTTGTTGATCTTGAGTTTATGACTGAGGTGAGACATTGCTTGAGCCCAGGAGTTCAAGCCAGCCTGGATACTTAGGAGACAAAGATAGAAGAATCTTAGTTCCGGGCTGGGAAGGTGGCTCAAGTGGTAGAGTGCTAGTCTTGAGCTGAAGAGCTCAGGGACAGCGCCCAGGCCTAGAATTCAAGCCCTACAACTGACAAAAACAAAACAAAACAAAAAACAGCTAGGCACCTCTGGGCTCACACCTGTCATCCTAGGTACTCAGGAGGCTGAGATCTGATTATTGCAGTTCAAAGCCAGCCCAGGCAGAAAAGGCCTCCTGAGACTCATCTCCAATTAACCGCTCAAAAACCAGAAGTAGAGCTGTGGCTCAAAGTGGTAGAGTA